TTTTATGGATACATCTATATAATACGGATCTATTACTACAGAACTCTAGAATTCTGTAGAATTCTATTTCTGTGAAGCCCTATTATTATAAAATTCTAATCCTACAGAACCCTATTTCTATGAAATTCTACTATTAAAGAACTCTACAATTCCATAGAACTCTATTCCTATGAAGCTCTATTATCATAAAATGCTAATTCTATAAAACTCTGTTCCTATGGACCCCTATTTTTACAGAACTCTACCTCTCCAGTACCCTATCTCTACACAATCGCTACACAATTACATCTTCCACAGCAGCCACCCATCAAACATCTATACCTAACTCACTACCCTCATCAATCACCGATTAAACTCCCCACTGCCCGAAGAATATAATACCCGAACATTATCATCACAATATTAACCCTCTATCGGCCGAATTTTGTTTCGTGATTATAATCAAATTTATGCGGTATAAAATTAATAAATATCAACATATAAACACAAATCAACAATGTATTCAGTAGCTTTAATAATTCCATTGAAACGAATATATTTTGTAACTTTGAAGTTACAATGACGTTGAACGTAAATGCCTGTGCGTACAAAAGTTTAAGTTAATTAATTATTTCATGTCGTTCGTCATTTTCCAATAGAAAATTAAATAAATCAATTTAACCCGGTACATTAATGCGTGACTTCAAAGTCACACGAGCCTGTGTGTACAAAAGTTTGAGTTACTTAATGTCGTTCGTCATTTTGCAATAAAAAATTAAATAAACGAGTTCAACCCGGTATATCGATGTGTGACTTCGAAGTCACACGAGCCTATAGAGGGTTAACCTGATCACAACCTCCCCGATCCTACCCAAACACTCTCACGACAGAAAAGTCCGCGAGCAGTACACCTTTCCACCCGGAATCTTCATTCTCCGTAATCCAACGCTGCCAGACCCAAGATCGCAGCGTCCCGAGCGCATTAACGTCGCTAACCCGGAGCTTGTTAAGATAATTCGTTTCCTAACGACGCCCGCGCCGATGGAACAAGCGCCGGGAAGCTGCGAACAGCTTAGTCGCAGCGAATTTCAGGATATTATCCGGTGTTTGACGCGCGCCGGAGTTCGGCATCATTCTCCGGGCGTCGAGATAACGAGGAATCCTTAATACCGGCCGCGTTCACTCAGTTTGAACTAACAGGCAGAAGGCTTATGCTGATTAGCAAACACACGGCCGGAGTTTGCACTGATCAAAACCGGCCGAGGCCGTGCTCGCGTATAATGGCGTCGCGAGCATTCGTTCGCTGGCTCGCGAGTTTCGCTCGTCGATTCATCGGCGAAACGAATTTCCACTCGACGATCATTTTTATTGCAAATGTCCCCTATTTCCTGAATGAACTTCGATGATAACATTTGCAGCTGATATGAAGGAGTGTCTTGTGCGAGTTGAGAGACTACTTTAGTTGTGCGTTGATGCTCGATGAATGATTTTTAAACACAGAGAATGGACAGTTTGTTGATGCAGATATTGTAGATGCACAATGTTATTTGATATTCTTAATCTATGATAGATACCGTGGAAACTCGTGATAAAGGATTGAATCTAGAGATAAGATTAAACGAATTTGCACTCGGCGATCATTTTTGTTGCAAATGTTCCTTATTTCCTGATGGAACTTCGATGATATCATTTGTAGTTGATACAAAGGAATTTTTCGTGCAAGTTAAGGGATGGAACAACTTTAGGAACACTTCGTCTGTTGATGCTTTGTACAAATTTTGAATGAAATGAAAGTGAATGATTCTTCACACTAGAACTGCCGAGCATTTAATACGATTAATATGCAATTCCTAGAAAAATTGTAAGAATAGATTATTTTCAGTTTCTTCAGACATTCGTTATAGTACTCAAATGAAACTATTTAGTTTCAAAATCATTTCGAATATTCAGTACTTCGAAGATATCAATAATTGCTGAGCAAAAAATCGAAGCCAGTCATTCTGACTGGTAGTTCTAGTATTAAACAAACAAAATGGACAGTTTGTTAATATAGATATTGAATAGTGTTATTTGATATTATTAATCTATGATAGATACCGTGGAAACTCGTGATAAAGGGTTGAATCTAGAGATAAGATTAAATAATAGGGGTCTAATGAAACTTTGCATACGAATATCGAGTGGAACTCTCGAAATCTTCAAATTTAACCCTTTGAAATATACATAAATTAAGAAACAAAGTTATTATTTCAATACTTCTCGTATGGATTATAAGAAGCGTAATATTATATGTAAGATTTTATGATTTCGATGACAGGGAGTCACCCCTCGAGTGCAGAGTATTAACTGGATAATGAATATCAATAATAAAACACTGAACCATGAATATTGAAAAGTACGTTTCGAATATTTACATTCAATATTTACTCGGCTAAACGAAAAATGCCGGTTTTTAAATAGAAATGATTAAGCATCAGCTAAATCCAGTGAAGATCAATTCAAAAATCCTCCGCCGTCAACGGCAAAAACAGCCACTCGACGCCGCGGAAGGCAGTAATCTGATTTTCCGAGAGCGACGGTGGCCGAACGTAGAGAGGACGAAGCCATAGGTCAGGGGTCAGGATCAGACGTTCACGAAAAAGGAAAAGTAAAGATGAGAACAGGTAACACGACTATCCGCCGGCCAACGTTCCTCACGTTTCGTAATTCGCAGTATCAACATCGCGTGCGGGGGCCGTAAGAGGAGACAGAGATTAATCGCGAGCGACTTAATTACCTCTGAAACGCGTAGTTAACCAAAACACAAGAGGCCCCGGGGAAAAAACGCACGCCCCCGCTCGGGGAGCTTAATTAACGCTTTAACCCGCTCGCGCCGGCGTGCAAGCGCGTTACGCAAACAAACATTGAGCGGCTTCCCCGTGGCACCGCTGATATCTCTGATAAAGGGTTACCATTGTCCACGTCGAACGACTTCCATGGTCGTTTTGTTCTACATTTCCGTCCGTTCCACGACTCATTAACACTGTTCCAACCGCGACCAGTCGAATTACTGTTTTTAAAATTTCGATTAGAATTTCCTATAGAACGTCATTGAATCGCCTTTATACTTCACGACTTTTCCTAAAAGATATGTATAAAACATTTCTCAATATTCACACCCTTTTTTGTTGTTTATTTTCTGAGAGAAATTTGTAGCCATGCACAATGTCTCGCGATTAAATCGTAATGGTAAGGATTAATCGATGAACACATAGTTAACGCAGTTTGCTGCGTTTGACGGATGCAAAGACCAGCGTGACCTGCGCGAGAAATTCATTCAGATTTGGCAAAGCCCTGTTGCCAATTTTCTTTTTGCCTATTTCATGAGAGACTTTTTAAGTGAAATTCCACGGGGAACTGTTAAGAGGTTCCAGCGAGGGAATTCTTATTTCCAGATGCCCATTGGAGGGAGAGTTTGTTCAATAAGTTTCTGCAATAAGTACTTATGCAAGATTTTCCCCGCGCCGAGGAATTACGAGGATATCGTGGGGAGGAATTATTGTTGGCAAGTTTTTAGATAAATCGTGAACCTACGGATTAACGTGGTTTCGATTTATTGAAATTGTTGAAGGGAGATTTACCGTCGTGCAGTAATTATATACTCGTGTATTATGCGACGGATAATGGGAATTGATGATAAACGATGATAATAACCGACGCCACAAATGTATTGTAAATGCCTGCGATAAATTGATGAGAATGGAAGTCGGGGGTCTCGTCATTGTAACAAGTGTTGTCGGAAATATTCAGAAATAAAATTAGTCGATAGCAAATATATCACAAATATGACAAACCAATCCATAGAAAACTGCACAAATTTTTACTATCTCTTCTAGGATATCTCTGAAACTGGACAATTCATTCTGCACTCCCTGGTTTATACAAAAGTATACTTTCAGTCCTCTTCGAGGGATGTTTTCACGCCTTTAAAGTGGACGTTGGCCAATAAGAAAAAATACGTGCGAAATACATTCTGGGGAACTGTTTCAAAGAAGTTTCATCAACGCTAACCGTACCGGCACTTCTTTTGCCGTGACCAGTCAAATAACTGGCTGTAAAATGAAGATAGACCGGTTGGATCAATGTTTTGTAGCGAAAACAGAAACAATAGGATGGGAATTGAGAAACTGAATAGACAATATAGGAATTAATATTAATGTTACATGCACAAAGAAAACATGGAATTTTAAATCCGGTTATTTGATCGGTTCTCGGTACGGTTAATGTTAAAATCCACGTGTGCTGGTTGAAAAGGTTTTCAACCGGAAGCACCTACAAACGTCCATAGCGACTGTACAAATGTTGAAACTGAACCACATAAAATCGAGTATATCCTTCCTTCTAAATAGTACACTCTATTTTATTCTAATTAGACTTATTTCTTGCCAAAAAGACATTCTATGCCGTTTGCAGCGTTAGTTTCGTTGAATATTTGACCCAGAAGCCTACAAACGTCCATAGCGACTGTACAAATGCTCGAACTGAACCACATAAAATCGAGTATACCCTTCCTTCTAAATAGTACACTCTATTTTATTCTAATTAGACTTATTTCTCGCCAAAAAGACATTCTATGCCGTTTGCAGCGTTAGTTCCGTTGAATATTTAACCAAGAATCCTACAAACGTCCATAGCGACTGTACAAATGCTCGAACTGAACCACATAAAATCGAGTATACCCTTCCTTCTAAATAGTACACTCTATTTTATTCTAATTAGACTTATTTCTTGCCAAAAAGACATTCTATGCCGTTTGCAGCGTTAGTTTCGTTGAATATTTGACCAAGAAGCCTACAAACGTCCATAGCGACTGTACAAATGCTCAAACTGAACCACATAAAATCGAGTATACCCTTCCTCCTGATATTTATTCCAGAAGCGTCTACAAAGGTCCATAGGAATCGCACAAATTCTCAAACTAAACAGTAGAGAATCGTGAGAAGCGAAACAGCCAGTTTGAAAGTCGAACCCTTTGATTGCAGATATCGCCGGCGGTTACCTGTGCTTCGTGGTGAGCATATGCGGGATCGGCGTGGTGACGGCGGTAATCGGCGACGTGGCATCCTACTTCGGGTGCACTCTGGGGATCAAGGATTCCGTCACCGCGGTGGCGTTCGTCGCGCTCGGCACCAGCATCCCCGGTAAGTCGAGCACTCAATGTTCACGCCCCCGCAACCCCTGAAACGCGTGTAATTTACAGCTCGTGAGCCGACAACTATTTTCCGCGCGATAAAATCCCGTTAAGCGATAAGTCCTGTTCTCAATGAACGACCGCCGAGGCGGGGACAATTAACGTTAATTAAGTGCGAGTCGCTTCGAACGACGACGAGGACGACGACGTCGACGCGATTCGCGTTAACAAGATTCGCTTGTTGGCGGGTGTCGTAGTGTTTCGTTGGTAACTTCGGTGTGTTCTTAAAGTTGGAGGATTAATTGGAAGTTCCGTCGAGCTGGTTGTTTTTCGGTATGTTCGGGGATGAACTTTTCGGATTTTACCTTTTAGGTACGGTACGCCACTATAGTGACTTTCGTGGATGTCATGATTTTGGACGGTATTATATTCAAAGAATTTGCACACGTTAGGTAACTACTATCGCAAGTTTGTTTATATACATTCTGTTCTTAGATAATTTCATTTAATATATATGATTCTTTAAATAAATTTGACTGCTTATACTATTATTTCCTGAATACAGTCTTATAGTTGTCAGAACATTGGCACAAATTGATTCTTAAACTTTATACTTTGGTAAAGTGTAAGATTGAATAACCTACTGTGCGTGTGTGTATTTCTTGCATAATATAATACATCCTCATGAATCCAAAGATCTGAAGATTTTTATGGCAAGAATAATCAAACAACGTCGAATAACTTCTGTCGTGTAACTGGAATCTCCGAAATAATTTAAAGAAATAAGAACAAGCTTGAAAAGTAAGAACATCGCCTAGATGTATAGAAGGAAAACAATTTTTTCCTTTCCTAATCTTCTTGAAGCACTTTGGCTTAGAAAAAGTATAAATATAAACGAGAAGATCACAGTTGTACACCCAGTAAAAATCAGAAGTTATTATTATTATATGCGACATGTTAATTATAATTAATTAATAAAGTTTTTCGATGCCGTTAGCTGAAAACATATAAATAAATCATAATATATTCATTTAGAACTCTCCCGAGTAATGTCGCAGTGGAAATCGTTATGAACGGTTTTTGTGCCATCCGCGGCCAGGCGCGCCGTACCTAAAAGGTTAAAGGAATGGTGGTAAGAAACGGGAGGTGAAGGGAGGAATGTGTAATGAAAGTAAGTACAGAAGGGGAGAAAGGCATAAGCAGTGGAAATAAGTGAAGAAAGAAACAGGAAATTAGCAGAATTATGAAAAGAATTAGCAGGATTATGTGAAAAATTAGCGGAATTACGTAAGTGAAGGAAGAAAGGTAGAATGTAATGTGCGGTGGGTATGAATAGGACAGAGAATATGAAATAATAGAAATAGGAAACATAATAACATACACAATATTTAAGTAAATTACAAACGGTTCGAATTGAAATTCAATTTGACCCGTATTCATTCATTAAAACCGTGGAAAGGGAAATAATATGAGAGCTGCTTTCCAAAGAACTAACAGGATTTCCGTAGCCTAATAGATCACCGACCTTTAACCAGCTTTGCGTAAAGAAAATACCTTCAACGGAACAAACAGAGCGTACTAGAAGTAACTTTCCCAGAACATAATGCTAATCCAATATTTAATCGTCCCAATATCAAACACGATGCTCACGAAAATCAAACCGCAAACTCCGAACCATTCCCAGTTCCATTCCTTCGTTAGCCAATTACCAACTTCACAAATTCATTGTTTACCTCTCGCAATCGTAAAAAGAGCATTAAAAGTTCATTACCTTCTACATAACTACATCTTCTCAAATATTAAGCATTAACCCTTTGCGGTCGAATGCCATGGCGCCTTCGAGCTTTGATATCTGAATTCGAACGCTGCAAATGAATAATTCAATTGTTCGAATAACGAGAGAGATACGTGGCTTTCGTTTTCTCTAGCGTTTAAGGCTTCGATTACTCAACATTTTCGTGGACGAGTTCTCATAAGTTTCAAAAATCTCGTGTACATTAACCTTTCGTCGAACGTCACCTTAACGACGAGTTCGAGCTATAATATCTAAAATCCACGATCACGAACGACTTCAATTATTCAAACAGTGAGAAATTGATGCGTCTTTTTCTTACAACACTTCGATGGATAATTAAATTTGTTATAGACAGGGTTTCTAAGAGTTTGACAAATTCCCAAAGGATTAAGGGAAACAGGGAGGATTCTATTTTTCGAGAGAATGACAGTGGAAGCAACACGCCTCGGCGATGAAACGACGACAAAACTGTCAAGAGTTATCCCAACGATGCATTTGTCATCTGCGAATTACTCCACGGAAATCCCACCCTTTTCCATGCGACTTTTTGCCCCTCGAGCCCTCGCCCTCGAAACAAGGGTCAGGTCAGTAGGCGAAAGAAACAAAGGAGACCGTCGAAAATCGGCCGGCAAGATAAATCTCTCGCAATATCGCTTCGCCGTCGAGAATTTTCCGTCTCGCGGTTTTCTGAACGGTCTCCGTTCGGCTGACATCGGGCATCGGCTTTTCGGAGACCGACCACACGAGGGATTCATCGTGAAAACGTGCTGGAACTGAAAGTAAAACGAGGAAAAGGAACGGTGGTCCCTTGACTCGGATGACCTTCGAATTCGGGCCTGGTTCTGGCTCGTGACCGCGTTTCCCTGGGGATTTGACCTCGGGTCTAGCAAAATATCACGGGCAAACGCGATTTACCTTTGTGGATGGCTCAACAGAGTTGACCCCTTTGGAAAATGTAAAGCTTGCAATTGAATATTAGAAAGCTGGTAAATTGTAAGGTTTGTAATTGAAAATTATATGGCTATTGAATTGTAAAGCTTGTAATTGAAAATTAGGAAGCTGCTAAATTGTAAAGCTTGTAATTGACAATTAGAAGATTGCTAAGTTGTGAAGCTTGTAATTGGGAATCAGGAAGCTGCTAAATTGTAAAGCTTGCAATTAAAAATTAGAAAGCTGGTAAATTGTAAGGTTTGTAATTGAAAATTATATGGCTATTGAATTGTAAAGCTTGTAATTGAAAATTAGGAAGCTGCTAAATTGTAAAGCTTGTAATTGAAAATTAGGAAGCTACCGAATTGTAAAGCTTGTAATTGAAAATTAGGAATCTGCTAAATTGTAAAGCTTGTAATTGAAAATTAGGAATCTACTAAATTGTAAAGCTTGTAATTGAAAATTAGGAAGCTACCAAATTGTAAAGCTAGTAATCGAAAATTAGGAAGCTACCAAATTGTAAAGCTAGTAATCGAAAATTAAAAAGCTGCTAAATTGTAAAGCTAGTAATCGAAAATTACAAACCTAAATTACAAAGCTTATCGGACAATTGAAATAAAACAACTGTGTCCCTTAATTCGTTTTTCCCGCTGGCAAATCGGACGAACAAAATTCTATTGGATTTATTAGATACGAGAAGGTTAAGAGAGCAATGTCTGTCTAAACAGACCAAGTTCATTTTCCAATAATTACACGTTCCGTTTTGCAGGAGAATTTACAAAAATTGCAGTCTCCACGAGAGATTCGAAGCATCGTTCCAAATATCATGTACCGTCACAAATATCTATCCGCGGAGCGTGGAGACCGTCGTTAAGGGGCTATACGCAGGCCAGCAACAATAATTATTACAAACTATATGGGAGCGCGTTCCATCTCGCAACGCGGAACTGCTCCATCCGCGATCCATGGCCGGATTAACGAGTGAATTAGCGCACTCGAGCGGATACCGTATCGCCCGTCCGTACATAAATGAAACAGCATCCCCTGCGCACTCGCCCCTAACCGCTGCTCCACATTCAACTGTCAGAATCCCCGAAAACGGAGAGCCTGAACAGCTCTAGCTGAATCGCTCGTACAATTCCGCGGCGAGCTTTTTTCGTAATCATACGGTGCAACCGGACTACGTATTTTAATGTATTTAAAGGAGACTTGGGGAATTCTCGAAACACGAGAAAACACGTGCAACGATTTTTATTTTCGTTAACTGGAATTTTCGTTAATTCGTCGAGCTGGAATGTTAGTGAAAAAGATAATAACAATTATGAGAATAACAATAATTTCTCCTGACAAAACTCCTCTTCTGAGATGAACCCGTTACAAAAAATTAAATAATGCTGTCTTTAACCTTCTCTGAACAATGTACAGTCTATTATTATAAATATTCAATAAAATATTTATTTCTTCGTACTGAAGGCAAATGATAGAAGTGGTCAGTAATGATTTGGTATTAGAGTACTATAGGATTTTCTTATTGTAATTGTTTTCAAGCAATTTCGAAGTTCTGGTCACCGTGGCCAACGTGTCAACGCGACCTAACGTAAATAAACACAATGATAATAATAATAATAATAATAATCCTATTGCCAGCTGGTATGATACCAAAAGACTATCGCAATTTCAAAAAGAAGCATACGAACACAAATAAAAATACTAGAACGTATAATTAAAACCTATAACGCGGTAAGGAAGTTTCTAAATACTAAAAATTACGACTGAGGTAAGACGATGGAATAATAATAACAGCGATGGTAATATTGATAATGATAGTAAGAAGAAGACAAGGGAAACGAACAAGGAAAACAAGAAGAAAGAAAATAGTTCAAGAATTTATCTATAACGACACATACAACAATAAGAAGACAAGGGAAATGAAAAAGTAAAACAGGGAAGAAGAAAATAGTTCGAGAATTTATCTATAACGATACATATAACAATAAGAAGAAGACAAGGGAAATGAAAAAGGAAATAGTTTAAGAATTTATTCATAACGATGCGTATAACAATAATAAGAAGGTAAGGAAAACAAGCAAGGAAAACAAGGAAGAAGAAAATGGTCCAAGAATTTATCTATAACGACACATATAATAATAAGAAGACAAAGAAAAAGACCAAGGAGAACAAGAAAAAAGAGGATACTCCAAGATGCTATCTACGCATAACGATACATAAACAGCTGCAGCAATGGGGCACGATGTAACATTTACATTCTTCAATTTGCATAAAAA